AACCTGCCTGTGAACATCTTTCCTTCACATAGTGCCCACATTGCTGCACGCTTAAATCTTCAGAGAGAGTTCTATACAGCCTTGTAAAGTGGCTATGTAAACCATTAAATGTTGCTCATGTAAAGTCACTATTATTAAATATACTGGCAGGTAAATTTACACGAGTTGCTCAAATTGTCCGGCCTAAATCCAAGTTCTAATTCCCAATCAACGATTCATTGTGTAATTTGTGTGTTTAACGGTAGAATGAAAAAGCCAGTATTCGGATTCTAAGAACGACTGCAGTGTTTAGTTGTGTTAAATTTCGTATTATTGCTTGTAAGTTGTTTACAGCATTTGTTAACAGAGAGATTTCTGCGAGTTTTTAAGGACTCTCTTTATCTAGTGTCTGGAATCCTGCTTATTATTGAATTTTAGATGACGTCAAATTATAAATGACAATCTAGGCTAAACAAAATGCTTCAAGGAGATACAGAGGCAGTATATTATGGCAAGAGTTGGAGATCCGGCAACCTTAATTGACTTTAGTAGATCAGTCAAGCTGACAATCGCTTGGCCTTTTCGTCTACATGTTGATGTATATAACGAGAAGAAATGTATATTTACATCGAATTAAAGAAATAAAATCGGTCAATACGTTTACAAAATTATTTTTTGTCTTCTATTTCCAGCTAGAACTATAGCCAGTTTCAACCAGTCGTAAATAAAACACCATACTAGTAAAATCTAACTGCTCTTACACCTAAAATTGTCTTTCAAGTTTTTCTTTATGAAAGAAACTTGGTTGTCGCTACAAGCCATACAAATATTCTTATAATGCACTTCTCAGTAACTAAAATTCTAGTTATAATTGAATAAATTCGGAAGACTTCAGAATAGGGTGGCACTGAAGGCATTATATACAGTTAAAAAATAATAATTGATTTCCTTCGGAACTGAGCGAAATTTCGAAGTAATACTCTCGGAATCTAAGAATTGAGAGCAAAATAAATTTACACAGAGTGAAGCGCGGCTTTCCGAGGGACGCTGATATTTCCTTATTGCAATTCTTCAAATAAACAAAAAAAAAATAAATTTCACTCTGTTTTTAACTGTTTGATGTTTCAGCCGACACATTTAGAAAGAATGTTGTCGAATATTATGAAAGAGCACAGTCAACGGATGAATCAGAGGCGCGATGAGTTAGGTAAGTTTACTGAATAACATTTTAGAACGAATAAATAGCATAGTAGAAAGTAACACTGTATTTTTTAGATAACATCGATTATAGGATGCTCGCAAATGCGCATCGCATATTTGATGTACTGAAACTTTACATATAAGCCGACTTATAAAGACGAAACAATCGAACTCAATCCACTTTGGATTTTTCGGTTCAGATTCTGATGAATGAAGCTTATCGTTCTTATATTCGCGATAGATGCATTTATTCTCTGTTTTAACCATCCATCATGTAAATTTGACTCTGTAACATACATTCGTATAAGATTCTTTTTCGAAAAATCCAGAGAGTTACTTATTTTATATATAATAAAAATAAGTAACTCTCTGGATTTTTCGAAAAAGAATCTTATACGAATGTATGTTACAGAGTCAAATTTACATGATGGATGGTTAAAACAGAGAATAAATGCATCTATCGCGAATATAAGAACGATAAGCTTCATTCATCAGAATCTGAACCGAAAAATCCAAAGTATATATATATATATATATATATATAACTTATTTTTTACATAGATTGCGGTAGAGGTGCATGGTGCAGCCTGTTCTTGTCTTTCTATGTAAAGATAATACTTTTTGGTACACCCTGCAACGGTCTCGCGTGTTTCATGCTGAGAGCTACGGTCCTGGAGTGACTGCTACACACTGAGTAACATGTAAACTGTTTGTTTGATTTTCAGAATACAAACGAAAGGTGGCCATAAATGCCACGAACGAATTCACCTCGCTTATGATGGACCATCTCAATGTTGGGTAAAGTGCATTGATTTTCAACTCTGGATGGGTATCTGTGTTAAACGGATTACGAGAACGGCTTGTGGAAAAGACTTATTCAAAGAAGTGCTTGATTTTTATTTTACATATTTGCGTGTTGTGACAACAAGATACTTCGCATTAACTATTCAACCTGAGTAAAAAAATGAACGAGCAGATTCACAACTAATAGCAGAGTTTGCCTCTGTTACAATAGTTTAAGGAATGGTATCAAATTGGGGTCGCAAAAGCTTCTTGTAACCACTACAAATTATTTAGCTGCTTTTCATTGGGACCCATTATTTTCTATTATTTAACTGTACAGTATCATCTTTGGGCGCTCGTGTATATTTGCCTCGAATGATTCCTGTTTGATGCCACCAAAAACTAAGATCTCATTTAGAGAATGGTATGTCTGTAACTAACAAATAAATCGTCATTTTTTAGAGTGGCACAGGCGTACCTCAATCAGAAAAAGCTTGACTCCGAGGCAAAACAGTTAGCTGCACACAGCCAGCAGTTGCTCCGCCAGTCAGAACAATGGGCTAACCTCTTAGACGGCTTCCACAAAATCCTAAAGGAGATCGGCGATGTGGATAATTGGGCTCGAACGATAGAAGCTGACATGAAAACAGTGTCCTCTGCTCTCGAGTATGCTTACAATGGTATGAAAATTATCTCCAAACAGTAGCGTATGACGATGATTTGTGTAGTTTTTCTGTATACACGTCGAAGGAGTCATCTTCAACGATTTAACTTGTGTACTAACAGTTTTGTGAGGCATGCCTGTTTGGTTTCAGTGGTGCAAACTTTTAGTGTAGTTTATCTGGTTGGTCGTCCCTTTCCTTGAAGGAATGCCCCCCTCTATGTTCAACCACAGGGTGCTTTCCTCTACTCAATAGCAAGTGGAGTTTGGTGATCTGATTAAATGGAGTTAATGCCGAATCCAAGGTTTAAGCGGAAATCGTAGACAACAGATACACGCTTTTTTAAAAAGATACCTACGTGTCTATAGAGGAGGTGCGTTCATAAAGTGCCTCCATGTCTCCGTACTAAAATCAATTCATACTAATATGTTACTATCGTAAAAATTTTTTAAATTTTCAGTTGATAAACAGGAATGTATACAGCAAACGTCCCGAGAATCGCCATCGACGTTATAGTGTGTATAATCCCGAACTAGCTATCATCACAAGCACGAAAATGCAAATATGAAGCTACACAATAAATTACAATTTTTTTGAACTGTTTTTACTCAAGGAAGAGCGCTTAAACTAAACGATACAATCTTCTTAGAAATAGAACAGAAGATATTATATAGTAGTAAATAGACGTATTTAATCTAATACGAAAGATATGCGTAGTACACCAAGAGCGCTAATTTCGTTTTCAACTGAAAGGATATCAGCTCAGGTAGTATTTGTACATTACAATACATTTTTAATAAATAAACCAAAAATTGGACGCAAGTGAGGATCCAACAGCATTCAAATATTAAATAATTAGCTGATTTCATAGTTTGAGCAGCAATGTCGAAACAGCATTTTAGCCATTTTGACCAGCCGCTAATCCATGATCTGTCGTTTTTGTACAAGCATTCTATGCACCTCAATACTATCTTATAGGTCAAATCGGATCGTCTACTTTACCCCAACTTGTTCGTGGCACTTTACTCAATTTTTGAGGTATCTTATATATTAATGGACTGTTTACGATCTATTACTGCCAAATGCTGTTTGTTTCCCAAAAGTGTTTAAGTTGTCTGTCAGATTAGAGAGCTAGCTGTAGGAAGGCTGCGGGGAAAAGGCCTCGTTTTTGTGTAAAACTGTTCGATAGGGAGCGCTAACAAATCAACATGCGGTTAATCGTTGTCAAAAAGCAGTTATTCCCGGATAGTAGATTCTGGTTAGCTTTTGGCTTTTCCCGCTATCAGTTCTCCGATTAAGTCGCTCGGTTGTTATGTTGTAATGTTTCTACGGCTTTCTCACTCTAGGTCGAAATTAACAGAAGTACACTATTATTTAACGATACTGAAATTAGTCAATTTTCAACCGTCCATTGCCCTTTGCTTTTACTCTTGACTGAGCGACTCAGTGGCAAAGTCAATGGCTTGCCACTTGTTTCCGTTCGATGGGTACTTGTGGTAGGTATAAGAGCGCGGACTACAATGTAGACTTGACTCTAGTTTTTACTCTCAAGTCATTAGGTAGCTCGCCGCACGTCAAAATGTCTGGCTTTTTCTTTATGGTCTACCACGATCGCATCTGATGTACTCCATTACAACCGCTATGCGGTTTAGTATATATATATATATATACGCGATATAGTATGCGGTTTTTGTATAGAATGGAAACATAAATCGTTGTGCAATTCTCTTATGCATAGGAGTTTCTAAGGAACATGTTTGGGTTAGTCTTAACTATATGCGGTATCAAGCTAGTACGACACCAAGAATCCAGTGATGGCCGTATCGTTGATTTCCTTAACACCGAGAGTGTGTATTTTTAGTCTTATTACTAGCAGCGATTCATTCAATGTAAACGTCGTGATGCCTAAACCTACGTGCCGGAACATAAATATATAAAATTAATAGGAATATAAACGCCAGTGACCTATAGCGTATTCGTAAGTGACGTCCATATGAATTTATGCATCTATGTAACATAGAAATCTATTAGATCTGTGCGGTAGTGGGAAATGAACAGTGTTTTGTAGAGACAAATACTGTGGTGTTGGGACCGCTTCTAATATTGCCGGTGTATTCTTGTCGGCGTGACGAACATTTAACTGCAAAAATCTTTCTGAAGGAGTGCTTAACTACAGAGCAGCAGCACTCTGAGGAAGTAGATGCAAGGCTATGTTGAGTTATGGCCTATAAGGGCTAGGACGCAGCAGGTAAAAATAATGGTAGGCATTGAAATATTATACATAGTTAGATTTTTGCTTCAGTGACACTGCTGGTCGTAATGTGCGGTATATTTAAAGCTTTGATTATTCGTTCAGATCTACTTGGTTCGTCGAGATATCTGCAACGGTCTGAAGGGCAAGGTTTCAATCAGCGAAGTCTTTAAATGCGAAACCCGTAAAATTCGCTGCTTAGAGTCAGCGTACCACATCTGTACAACCTCTATCGACAAAGAACTATCATAATTAGGTACATTTTTCTCGTCAAACGATCACAGCGTCCCAGGCTTATTCCAGAACCGCGGTCTGAATCAATCACCAGTGCTCGGTGATGTTCAGTTCTTTATGATATTTACTTATGACAACAGAATAGATCATTTTGGCTAAAACATTGTTGTCTGAGCTACCATATGTCTAAAACAAGGTTACAAAAAGCTTATTGTAAATGTGATGCCAATTTTTTTAAATGTACGTGTCCATTTTCGATAGGCAGCTCACGGGATTTTTGCTTAATAATTGCCTGAGCTCATATTCAGGTAATTCAAATAGCAGTTAGATTGCCTATCTTTAGTTTAATTTAATCGTTGACCACGAAATATTACTCGGATATCGACGCCTCTTCTTGTTCAGCTAAAAAAAACAAAAGGTACAACTCACACAAATGAGTTTCGAATTTTAATTATAATTTTCGTTGACTGGAGTTCGTGAAAGCAAAGCAACTGCCAGCTTACCTCAAAAAAGTAATGACAATTTCTCACCAATGGGGTTGCCGACAAACAATATAAGGCAATGAATAAACATTTTGCTTTAGTGAGGCTGGTGAGTATTAAACTCGAACAAACATTTTCTCTTGTAAGTCAAAAAGAACACGAAAGGCTATCGAAAAATGTAATTACTGTATGAAAACCTCGACGGTAAAAACCGTTCGACCGTGTATTTTAAACTTGCCTCTGAAAATTTTGCCTGATTCGCTTGCGTAGAGCTGCTAGGTCAGCTTGTGAGGCAAAATGAATCTTCATGAACAACATTTAAGTGAAGCTCGAAAGCATTCAGGACTTCCGTGAGGCTCTGTGGTGGTAGTGGACTCGTGTGTTGTGGATAAATAGAGATTGAGACATCGATGTGCACGTCAGCCTAAGTATCGCGTAACTCTATTATAATAATTATACTACAGCGATCATTCAAGAAAGAAGGTTTGTAAAATTTTCTTTTATTTCACCTTCGCCAATTGCCTCTACGATTTCTTTCGAAAAGCTTCCACAGTTTCTTGCCTCCAAAGTCTCTCGAAACAATAATTCTGTAAAAAGCTGTAATTATAAAGGTATTCATTGAGCTGCGGGGCACTTGAATACCTGAACACACATAATTTCCGGAGCAATAAATTGCTTTACGGACCCTCACAATAATAGAATTCTGACCCGATCAACTCCCAAAGGTTACGTTGGATACACGTTGCCACAAAGTAAATTAATCAATGATCAACTATGCGAAAAAGTGTGGACCGATTCGTGATGTCCGACAGGGGTTTGATCTTAATTATAAGAAAGTTAATGTGTCCACTACAGATCATTATCTACAAAACAATAGATAGCGACTAGGTGTACTTCTTGTTTTTTTAGTTTAAATGAAAAATTTGTGATTATGAAGCGCAGCGAAAGTTTCTTTCTTTCTTACAAGAAGCTGGTTCTATAGGACGATATAGTAGACACAACGTTGACAACGGGCATGGCTTATTGATAACAACTCACATTCCATCCTCGCGAACCATAAATGAAGATCCCCTAATTATTTAATTTCTGCACAGAAATAGATGACATTTATTGCTTCAGATGGATTTCTAAGTAAAACAAGCACGAGCACCTGTACTTGCGAAGGCTACGATCACCTCAATTTTCTTCATCGTTCTCCTTCCTTCTATTTAGTTTGGACTCGCATATGATGCTTTGATTAAGTTCTATGGACGTTACGTTTGTTTTCGACTCGCGCGGTTGTTTGTCAGAGGGGTTTGTTTGTAGACGAGTCACAACCATCACTGGGTGTTCTACCTGGTGGCTCAGATTCGCTGCTATTACACCATATTTTTCCACGTTTTCCAGGGAAAAGTTCGCGAAAATTTCAAGCGGAGATCACAAAAACGTTAAAAAGTAACGTTAAACTCACATATACATGTAATTCGCTCATTGCGTTTACGTGCAGAGGGAATCATACCACTAAAATTAATCTTTCATGAGCTTTGTAACTCCTGTTTTGTGATCATGATGTTTGCTTTTGCTCCTCAGAGTATTATTCAGAGCAAACATCTCCCCTATGTGCACCCCGAACGCGACAATGAAGCTATTTAAGAACACGTGCTATAGTATATTAGCGCCTCTGTTACCTGGACAAAAAAACTTTACCCTCTAGCATCTCATCTTAGTCGCTAACTTACTTAAACTGAACTTTAATTTTGGTTACTGATGACTATGCTTTCAAGAATGTTTGTTCACACTGTTTCCAGCAGTGCAGCATAATTTTATGAATAAATCTAGGTTAAACTGTTCGATTTTCATCACCTAGAGAGCAAGGTCGTTTGCGAGCTTATAATAAGAATTAAAGCTGGTTACATACAAGACACATTTGGAACTAGAGACTTGTTTCCTTGCTCCCTTGCCCTCGTTTACATACATTAGATATAAATAAAATTGTGTGTTCTGGTCTAGGTTCGAATCTCGGCATAAATACACTCCGTTTTTTGGTGAAAGCCAGCTGTCTGATGGAGTACCTAATGGCGATGGCGAACATAAAACTCTAAACATAAAGAGAGATATGATTGAAATACAGATGGTACATAAACTATAACTTGAATCAGAGAAGGCACACCTTAACAACACAACGGCATTGTCATATTGTTATGGCCGTTATCGTTATTTACTTGTTTCGTTATCTGTAATAGAATTTCTATGTTTCCAGTTTTTACAAAACATAGAGATAATATTATCACTATTACTATTATATTGTTAGAGTAATAGAACTTGTAGCTTATCAACAGTACTTTTTATATCTTATGGGGATGAGCCCTATCCCACATACACACTATATTGTAATATAGTTAGGATAAAAATAACATATTGGTTAACTACATTAATTTAATGAATTTTAATAATATTTCGTTTTTTGAATAGTTTTACTGCTACTTCCATAAATAGAAAGATGATCTTCAATCATCAGCTATGGCTGCTGAGCTCTGAGGCTCTCCTGTTCTCGGCTGCCTATATCATTCGGTCATCGTTCGACGGTTTACTTTGAAGTATTCAATCTGCATGCCCTACCACTTCCAACAGACAACCTTCGGGCATATTGTCGTGTTGACGCATAGGACTGGGCCGGCGAATCCGTGCGGTTAAGACGGCCACCGCGTGCGAACACAGCGTTAGACCCCAATACTCCGAAGTGCCTGTTCATTTGATCTCCGCGCCGTCGTCTTTGGGTCTTCTGCTATGTCTCCTAGAGGGCGCTTTCATCAAATTTGGCGGCCCACTTTACCTACGTAAACATATGTTCGCGCTTATCTGTCGGTTATTCAGTGACAAAGTCACTCTCTGATCTCGTATGATATGTAGGTATACTTTGGAGTCTTAGCTGGCTTGACTAACGAGCGTCAACTGACACATTATCTGCTGCCGTCAGAAAGCGTATTTGTAAACGAGTTAGAGACACAAGAAGAAAAGAGAGGATGCGAAACCGGATGTGTTTGAATAGAAATTGATCCGTATCGTTATCATCATTGCTGCAGCAAGTTATAGCTTGCGGCGGGGCCTACGGGGACCCGTACACCCCGCAAGCACCAACAGGGCAGCAGTCACCTCCGGACAAGCAAAACCAGAGTCAGTGAAGTTGCCGCGACTGTTAGAGTAAAGAAGGTGAGTAGGTTGGCTCGTAATAGGACAAGCTTGTGGAGTGAACGCACCGAGTGTTGTTCTTTTACAAATGGCTGAGCGCGTTTCTAGTCTCCAAAAGTGCTAACAGTCGATGATTACGTTAGAGCGGACACACACCGAGACACAAACATATGTATTTCCGTTCCGTTGTTACGGACCGGGCGAACCGGATCTATTCGATTTAGTGATCGGGAGCCATGTCTAAAATGCTGATCATCCGTTCGAATAAGGAGAGAGACTGCTCTGCTCTTTTTACTTGCCGATGTTGTTGAAATGCTGTCGTTCAGGCGGCGACCTTACGAACATACATATGGAAGACATTACATATGGAAGACTGCGGGAAATAATGGAATTGGGGGAGAGTAAATGTCCGACTCGAGACCATTCATATCGAGCATCGAGTGGTTATTCATCTTGTCTGCTGCGTAGCACCGAAATGCTCTGAGGACAATCGGAAACGTTTGTGTAGCAAAAGGCGACCGAGGGATATGTATTTGCATATGGACTGGCGATCTGTCTGTTTCCTTGGCGACCTGTAGTCTTGAGGTAGTTGAAATAGACGATGAATTACAACGGTGCACACCCACCTATACCATATCGTGATGTTTTTGCGAGAGATGAACTGCGTCTACAGATCGTGGTTAAAAACTCGGCTGAATTTCAAGAACTGTCCAAGTTATAGCGTGCTATCTGTAACGTATTGTGTTCTTCCATAAGTCGCTCACTGGGGTGCTCACCACGAGCTTTCTGTCTAAACGGTCCACAGAGAACAGTCTCATTACCAGTATTACTAATCAAAGACACAACTGCTACGCCTGCAAGATTATTTTGGCTGGGTTAAAGTACTAGCGTGGCCTGCATTGCCGGCTGCTTGGAACGCCGAAAAGGGAAAGAGGTAAACTTGATGGCCACCATTGTTATTGTTGGTATAGGCCGATGTTGGTAACTGTGTAAACTGCTCTGTAATCTGGGCCGCATTCTGCCGCCTATTCGCTTGGCACTATTGCATTTTCCTGTAATTCATTCCGCGAGAGGGCAGCAGCAGCAGTAGCTCCCGGAGCCTTGACGGCGTTTTCCGATGATAACGAAAGCCGAACGACAAACCAGCTGCGGTGATATGAAGTCAAAAACTGGCGAGGTCCGGTTGGATCATGCGGCTGCGGACTTAAGGCGACCTCACTTCCTAATCTTAATTTTGGCAAAAACGTCCATCCTCACTATTGAACACTGGATTTTTTAGCTTTTTAGTAAACAAACACACGAGAACTGTCAAGGAAATAGCATGAGAAACAAAATGGGCTGGCAGTTGGTACTGACCAATACTGACAGCTGTCTGTGTGTGTGTGTGTGTCGGTATGTTCCTACCTTAACTAAAGAAATCTCAGGTACCTATTTTTAGTTCGCCGGTTGTAGTCGACCAAATCATTTATTCTGTCACATGAGTCCCCGTGTTTGCATTGCATCTATTGAGTGCGATCTGGTTTCGCGGCGGACGAAGGGGTATTCGTTCAAGCGATTCGGTGATAGCAGAGCTGCAATTCCGCCATGTTTCCATGGTGAGGATTTAAGCCAATGGTAGCCGGTGAGTTCTTGGTAATTGAGCGGATAGACTAGTCCCGGGTTCACTAAAGCAAACGAATAAGACCCATACAGAACTACACGCTACACGTTGTGCTTTAAACGAATGATATTATCCACATAGGATACTGTGCGTTTCTGTATCTAAGAGTAAAAGAACGGCGAAATTATGGAGCTGGAGAATGTAATGGATCGGACACCCATCGTGCCAGGAGAAGTGCCATTGGTATGTTATTAGATGACGTTAAGTATCTGCCAGTATTCGTGCTGGCACCTGAGAGATTGTGTAATATTATAGCACTATCGTTACATTTGATTCTTTTTATAAACTTACTTTACTTGTATAGAATGATGAGCTGATTGAATTTTCATTTTACTGTCTACTATATATAATTTGTAGTTAGCTCAGGTATCTCATATCGTAGGCATTCTACAGTAGTTTGGCTAGTAGTAAGAACCATTTCGAGATAGTCTGCCGTAAATATTTTGTGTGGCTCGGTTCACCGTTACCTGTTGAACAGTTGAGGTCCTTTGTGGGCCTACTTGGCACCACCAACAATGGACCCTTCTGCTCCTTGGTATACAAATGACCATTATGATAACAAGTAGATAAAAATTGGGGAAGGCTATTTGAATAGATTTTGGTACCACTATTGTGCTCTGCATAACAACGGTAATCATATGTGGTGGTGAAGTAGAAGTTTAAGTGTACATTGTTCCGGATGATGTTTTCTAGATAATATAATTATAATAATAGATTCTTTCAAGGCAATGGAAGTGGGCCAACGACACTTACGCGGCAACGAGCTTCAAAGAAAATTAATACCTTATAAATATAATAGTTATATTAATGACGCTAACGTATTTCGGGTCTACTGAACCGGAACTATGCTAGTCTCTTAAAATATACACATTCAGTGTGTTAGTTCTACATTTTTTCGCATGACGCTGACTGTTGTCTATAGGTGTTTCGTATTCATAAAACGACGCGAATTTTCAGCAATATGTCATCATATTTTTGTGTGTAATATTTTTATTTCAAAATGAAAGCTGGACAATCATTATGCAGAGAATTGGATTTTTATTAAGGGCCTATGGCTTGAATGTCGGCACTTATTCTTACCTGTCGACAAGCATAACTATGAGGTGCAACAAAAGTCAACTGGAATAAACGAGTTCAAGCCTTAAAATCCGAGTTTCCACTTAACATGAACGTGCGAGTGTGCACTACATCAGTCGGGCAAAATCTCCATTGCAACGAACTGCACGCTAACAGAGAATTTCCCTTATTTTTTAATAGTTTAAAAACAAGGCTCTAGAGCCTTTCATTCTAGAGCCTTTATAATCACGTGTTACATAACGTTTTGCGGTAGACATTCGAGTAATATAGCAGCGACAGTGATCCGATGTCAATGTGGCGCGATGTTACTTAAGACTGACAACTCGGTAGCAAATACTGATCGCCGGACCACATGCCCACCGCGTACAATGATGAAGCGCACTTAATAGTTATTAATTGTTGACAACACCTTTTCTCAGTATAACTTCCAACTGGTATTCAACAAAACAATCCCAGACTGTTCCGAATGTACATATATATATATGTACGTGTTCGGAACATCACTGGACTTTTGCGTCTCGCCTCGCTCTTTTTTTACTTCGATAATTTCGAATGATATTTTTGGGGAGGCTGCGGAACTCTAATGCTGTATCTGAATCTCGTTACATGTTTGATCCTTGGCCAGTAATCTAGTACTGCGTCTGATCTCTGTAAATAATAGCTGGGCGTACGGTCGCCAATCCGTACTAACTAATGACGATAGCAGTTGCTACGTAAACATCTAACACCAACAGCGTTGCCACAAAGCAGCTGAATATGACGATTAACGACAGCACACTTTGTACATAGTGCCGTTATGTTTCCCCTACGTTTATAATTGAAAAAAAAAAAAGAAAGTCATAGAATTAGTTTTTTTTGCTATTTCTATTTGAAACAGATCGATGCGACGGATATGATTTTGATTAGGGGAAGTGGGATTTCAAAAATTAAGCACTTTAGCAATAGAACAACTGTTGTCAAGTGCACAGATTCGTTGTTAGATTACCCCGTATCTGTTCTTATAATTAACAAGCCATTCATGGCTGTTGGGTGCTTGGCTACTAAATATAGGGAGGTCGTCCAGGTTCGAAACCGAATGTAGACATACTGTGTTTCGTGCTTGAGGCCAGCCGTCTGAAGCAATGCCTAATGCTATAAGTGTACATAAGTGGAAAGCGGCTGTTCAAGCCCAAGACTAAAAAAACCATTGCAACAGAAGGAATAGCAAATTTTCAAAGTGACGTTAGAAACGTGTGTAACGGATGCCGTGCCTAAACAAGCTGTGTATTACTTTTTATTCAGTTTAATAATCGTGCAGTTGAAGCGTTTAACGATGACCTGATCAAAGCAACTCGGATTGAGGCTCTCTTATGACTCAAGCGTACACGCTCGTCCTGACGCCCTGATGCACTCGGCCTCTATCGACACTGTCACATGTGAACCATTTTCCCCAACGTCGCTATTGCATATCATTAATAATATATCATATACGTTATTTAGTTTTCTAGAGTAGCATAGTGAGAGTCGTTCTTTTCTCGACATATCTGTTTACTGTTACTTCTAACGTATTGGAGATCAATCTAATTTCGACTGGATCACCGGTCATTAGTCACTTATGAGGAGCAGCAGTAGCAGCTTTGATGCCGGCACGTTTTAATCGTTGCAACTTCCTTGCAGCGTGTAACAGGCGTTGCATCCACACCACGTATGATCATCTCACAACAAAAGAGAATGCAATGCAACATAAACTTGGGTTTTATCGATTGCCAACATATCTAGCTTTTAGCATTTAGACAGACGTAGATCACAAATGATCATTAAGATATCTTCCATCGGCAGCGTCCCCACTATCGCCATTGCGAACTAGGCTCTTGTACAGACTCAAAGAACGTTTCGAGCATAGCACAATCTAGTGTAATGCCTTCTGTGTATGTTTGGCGTCATGTTATGAAATATGTGGTCGCCACCATCTCCAACGATTGGATGCTACATATCTGTTTTGGTCGAGAATATCCCACATAACGCAGAACTCATAGTAGTCATCGACTGTTTGTTCACCACCGAGTCAGTTGGGGATACGAGCATATGTGGCACAAAAGACAGTATAAGATAGTCGTAAAGTACGAACCGTGCTGAGCGAACGCTTAAAACGTTGTCAAATATTAACTCAAGACCTACGAATGTGGAATTGTTTACAGCCAATGTGTGTGTATATCCTGGTGGCACAGTGCCTACACATTACGTGAAAGCGGTACTAGCGGCAGGTGCTGCTGGGCAACTATGACCCTTTCGCTCCATAAGACTCTACAGAAAAATCGCAATGCTATCTGGAGCTGCATCAAAACGAAAGCGTACATTTGCGTAGTTTGTCGCCGTGCTAGTGTCTTTCAATAGCAAGCACGGGTTTGCCGATAACATTCTCTTTTTGTTAAGATTTCAACAATACTGAGAGTCTACTCAGTTGGTGTAAGCCAGTCCCTGGAAGAGTCCCTGCTCAAGATATAAATGGTTGCACTAAACCAGCTCTGTTCGCCAAAATTTTAAACTATTGCGTCCGCGCTCCCATTGCGCAATGATGGAGTATTAACGGAGAATCCAGTGAAAAGTTGCGTGACATTGATCACTGTATATCCCGGAACAGCAAATTGTGCATAGGATTATTGTGTAACGTTTTAAATTTTCCTACCTAAGTGGTACCAAGTCAACCTCACAACCGTCGATGAGGTCTAAGGACCCCCAATGTGTGACTGCCGAGTACCTCCCGGTACAGTCGCCGTGCTCTTCAGGAAATGACACAACAACTCAAGTACGTTACACGCTATTTAACGACGTTCTTTGCCGAAATTACATTGTTTTTCTCCCAACGTCCATATGGAGCGACAAACACATGTCCAATGACTAATTCCAAACAGTATTGATAGGCTCTGCTCCTGGTCCCTGAGACAAGAAGCTGAGCCGTCCATTTGCTCTGCTAGGGAATGACCTTTGCCAAACTGGTGACCTTACAATTACGACGATACATTAGCTGCTATATTACGAGACCAATAAGTCAACAACATTAACGAGATTACTACGAAGCGACAGGCACGAGTCGCGAAAGAACTCGGATTATATGCCCCTTAAACAGCTCTATATTTCATATGATTCTTACTGCTTAGATACTGAAAGATTGGTAAATGGAACTGACCCTTCGTCATCATAATCATCAATAAATTACGTACATAGCGAACGAAATATAGTGATTTTCTTGTACGTTTTTTTTTAGAAAAAAAATACCTACGTATGCGTCAGCTGACCTGCTAGGGTTTACAGCGGGGGAGAGCCCGTAGCGTTTGTAATGCGAGCTCAATGATATTATACCTAGACTTTTTCTAGCCATTGAGTTATAACGAGTCAAATATCTTATATATATTTTCCAAAGAGCTTAGGAAATAAATTTTTCCGAGTTTTACGTCGTACAGTGTGTTAGTATTAGACTAAACAGTTAATCACTGACAAGGAACAAACGGGTTTATAATAAGGCCCGCATGTAGCAAAGTTTAGCAGGCGAACGCGCTACCGCTGGCGTCACATAGTTATGATCCCAGTGAGGTTTTACAACAACAGCTAATTAAAAAGGAAACCATAGTAACGAATTCTGGTAGTCAATGCTTGCAGAAATTCTCGATTGTTGCTCTCATTGTATTAAGAATAGTGAGTTTTGGAGCCTCAAGCACGCTACATATGTACTACTATGTTGTGACGGGGTAGCCCAGAATAAGCAACACATTTTTTCCATTATAATATTGCATATATATTGTAAAGAGTTATTAGCACCCTTTACTGATATTTACAATTTTATTAAACATATTTTTAAAGAGAATTCACAAATATTCTAAACTGTGTAGACTTAGAATGAACAGACGTCTTATATTGCCTATTTATTATTGGTATACTTTTCTTGTAACTAACTATATGATGTCTATTGGAGGATGCCTAAGGAGACGTTAAGACAATTTATCTACCCGAATCACACGTACGAAACATATTCTTGGTACCTTCGTAGGGCACGAGATAAGTTGCATCATTTCAGCTTCTGTATGTCTCATTGAAACAGGAGATACCCACACCATGGATCTGTGTACGAAACAAAATCACGAGACTTAGCTTTTAAATTATGCTGCGTCCATTGTCCACACGGCTGTACTGTAATTGCAGCTCGTATTATAGTATTTGCTCTTTGCTGGCTGTATACCTTGCCCCATCATTTGGCCTTGCAGGTGAACCGAAAAAAGAAACATTTCTCCTAGCTAGCTCGGCCGCTTTCGCTGCGTTGACAGGCAATTCAACGGCGTCCGTTGAAAGTAGGGCTTCGAGGCAATAACATTAAAGACCACCTAATCATAGCCATTATTATTATTATTACGGGGAGATGCAGCAGGATCGGTGGGTATTGTGTGAGCAAAACGGAAAAGCTTGTGGAATAATTCTATCAAGGGGAAAGCTTCCACGCGTTGAAATCCGTTGCTCATTGACCAATGTTTACTTGGGTCGCGTTCGGCTAAGCCGTTAAACCCAGTCACCTCTCACGTATCAGTCGCGTAAGAGTGGACATTCATGAAAATCGACATCTGCTATCGTAACATATATATATGTGCTAGCGTGCATCTTTATTGCATTACTATGGGACTCATGAAGTGGCGATACGCTGCTAACCGGGCGAAGTGGAATAGAGATTGGTAACAAATTAAAAGCTGGCACACATATATATCTAGAGCACCATCACGTGGGGCAAGGGTTACGTGGACCATTTTCGAATGTGTGCACGCATACACACATGCGCACACACGCACCTATAACTGCGCAGACATAAAAACCATGTGTACCTATAGTCAAAATTAGCGAAAAATGTTCGCGTATTTCGTGTTAGATCGATGGTAATGATGATGGCACTGTTGGTTTTATTCAGTCGTCGGTTTGCTATATGGTTATCTATGGGGCATGATTTTGTAGGTCTTTTTTTTTAGTTATATATCTATAGAGCGTGGTTCTATAGATGTAGACGGTCAGCCGAAAGTAAGTATCAGTATAAATGTTAATGTGATCGAAATGTGTGTATCGGACATGTTATTCTATGAAGTCGTTTGCACTACATCTTTTGTAATTATATCTTACACTATTTAATAATAGCTGGTTGATGTTATTTCCAGAAAGAGAGAGAGAGAGAGTTATGGTAACAAGCTTAGTTTAAATAAAGAAATGTGTGGAGTTTTACGTTCGATACTGCTTTAGTTCAGCATTGCTTCAGCCGGTTGGCCCCTGTCAACAGTAAACGGAATGCGTCTACGTCTGACAGGTAATTCTGCGATAGCAGCCAAATATTCCCAAATTCTATTGTATCACAAATAATTCTTTGGCTTTTGTTCTCAGCGTGGGCAAGTCGTATCACTATAAAATTCTCTGGGGGGCAATGCAGGTGTTATATATCGAGCATCGGCTAACCCTAGCTGTTACAGTATAGTTTTCACATTACGTGATCTATTTTTTTTTTAAATGATAAATTACAAGGAGTGTTTCCGGGGAGATAGGTTACAATTCGAGCCATCGCATCTGGGTTATTTGTAGGAAGCATGTTCTCCCCTCCTACCCTCAATATGTGGAATTCTTTCAGATCTGAAGCCATCCATACCTTCAAGGTGACGTTATCCAGGACCCTGAAGAGCAGCTCGACCTCAAAGGACCCTCGTCCAATATATTCATCTGAAATTGTCAACGCAGCGACAATGACCAGTACTGTAACCCAATTTTCCCTTAATGACCCAGAAAAATTTCAAAAGTATCTATCCAAATTAGAACCTGTTTATCAAACACTTGAACCCGAAGAGGAAGCTCCGCCGTCAATTCCAAGCCTTGAACCGCTCGAGATAGTTAAAGAGAAGAGCTGCGTAACTTGTGGCCAAAAGTTCGAAACACGAACTGAGCAGGTAGAACACTTCCGAAGCGATTGGCATCGTTTAAACGTCAAAGCAAGACTGAAACAGGCTCCAACTTTTTCCGAAGCAGAATTTGAACAACTCGGTGGCGACTGTGAAAGTATCTCCGTGTCGGATAACAGTTCTGACGATGAAGTGGAGAAGAGTAAGGTCGAGGTTGTGTTTGATACAGCGAAACTTCTCTTTATGAACTCGCAAGGGAACATCATCGAGATCAGCCGAATTTTGCTAAGGGCCGAAAAAGAAACGCTGACCTCTACCGAGCTACTTGCTCGGGTTGGTGCCCTTAACGATATTTGGCTGGGCTTAATCGTTATAAGCGGGGGTCACTTTGCTGCTGCGATCTATCGTAATGGAAAGATTATCCGCCATAAGACATTCCACCAGTACACCGTAAGACGAAAACAGGGCGGTGCTGAGAGTAATTTTGACAACAAGGCTCGCGCTGCAAAGTCAGCTGGAGCAAGCCTAAGGAGGTACAATGAAAAAACTCTCTTGGAAAAATCTTATGCAGTCCTCAAATCATGGCCGGAACTTAACCAATGTTCGGTGATATTATTTCGAGCGCTTGGTTTTAACAGGTCTATTCTCTTTGGCGGAAATGATCCGGTTTTCCGCAGTGATGACATTAGACTAAGGACGATTCCCATGGTGACACGGAGACCAACACTCAAAGAACTAGATAGAATTTATACTGTTTTGACGACCGTCAAAGTGGTCACAGATCCATCTAACTATTACGAAACGAAAAACGTCCTCGTTGAAAAGGACAAACACGACGTTAGGAATAAAAGTAAGCGTTATAATTCGAAAAATGCATCGAGCAGCGTCAAAGATGGTGACACAAACAATGAACTCAACGAGTTTATCGGCAACAAATCAAAACGAGAAAGGTCGAGAACGACAGCACCGCCTCCAAAAGAACTCGTCAAGGAAATTTTTACAATATGTCGAAATGATGATATCGAAGCATTTGAGAAGATTGAAGCTAAAGCCGATAAGGATTGCTTGGCACAAGCATTCAATTCCTCGCTGGACGATCATGGAAATACGGTAATCCATTTTTGCTGTCGAAGAGACAGATTAGCCATTCTGGAAAGAATGCTGGCTTTAGGGGCAAATCCAACCGTGGCAAATAATGATGGACAGACTCCATACACAGTCGCATCGAGTGACAAGGTACGCGACTTGTTGATACCATTATGCCAACAAAATCCTGTATTAAAGGACTACCGAGCTAAGATTCCTGATAAAATCCCAAAAGCCATTAGAATGATTAAGATGTTAAAAAACGCTGATGACACCGCGAAGTCAACTAACAACATGGACCACGAAATTAAGGAAAGGGACCTGTCGCAAAAGTCGGCCGAAACGATGACGCCATGTGATCACTGCCGCAAAGAGTTCTATACAACTCCATTCCGAGCCAGTGATAAAGAGTTTTGTTCGGTCAATTGTGTCCGAGCATGGAGATTCAGTTGAACTTGCTTTAGCCCGCTGCTAAGCACGTAATACGTTCGCCGCAGATATGTTTGACATTAAATTTTGCTATCTTATTTTCCTATTATTTAACGAACGGTGTTTTCCTTTGCTTTTCTAAACAGCCATTAAAACTGATTGTGATGGTTATTCCGTTGCCGGGATAGTTCCTGTCCTTTTATTGTATTTATTGCGTATCTTTCTCAATTTGTTATTAACCTTATACGTTTAAAAAAAACTTATTATTTGCCTTACAAGCACGTTGTTATCGAACTACGTATCGTTTTCGGGTGTTCGAGCTTTGTAGTGACTGTGATATATTTTCTAATTCCCGTATCTTATTGTAGATGAAAAG